TGACAAATTAATGTGTAAATTTGAAAAATTACAAAATTTTCTTTTACCTTGCTTTTGGTGCTCAACCTATCAACCAACCACCCACCCACCATTCTCCTTAAATATCCTACCACCAAAGTAATCAATGTTCATATCGATTTTTTTCTTTTATAAATAGCTGACCAATTTTTTTTTCTTCTCGAAAATTTGTTGCTAATTTATGTTCTGCATTCATTCTGCAGTTCCATTTGTCTCATCTTCTTGTTCTCCGTTTCTAATTTTGTTTGACAAAAAAAATATTGTCATTCCAAATTGATCTGTTGACAAAATTCAAATTGTGAATATTCGAATATTGCATTTTGTTGCGAATAAATATTTTGGTGAAATGAAATTATGTAATCCACACAAAACTGCTGTCAAGTGGTGAAAATTACATTGGAAAAAGCAGGAAATTCAATTGAAATAGAAAAAAATAAAATTTTAGAAAGTGGTTGCTTTTTTGAGTATTGAAATTTAGTTTGCTTTAGAAAAAAAAATTAAAAATATTTGAAAATATTGTGAATCCTTGTCACATTTTTATACAAAATATACTGATAAGAATTTTTTCCTTTATAGGAATTGTTGAATTGAATTTCCTGGTGACATTGGGCAACAGTCGAAGGTCAAATAAAAGATAATAAATAAAATGCAAAAAAATATTTGTATATTGAAATTATTTTTAAAAAAAAATTTATCTTTTTCTATAAGAGCCTGCTTCAGATAAATTCAAAACAATAAGTCAATTTTTTTTATTATTCAAAATCGACTTTTATGAAATTCTTCAAGAAATTATTATTTATTAATAGATATTTTCTTCGATTATAAAATTTCATATAAAAACCCTTAACAATAAAAACCTTTAAAATAATATTTTTGGAATTAATTTGAAAGGAAAATATTGAAAATAATCCTTCGAAAATATCACTGCAGTATTCAACCAAATTTGATGAAAAAAATAATTTAAAATATATATATATATATATTGTCCTTAAAATTAAAACACACGATATGTACCTTGAAAAAATTCATGTGAAGGATTGATAGAAAAAAATATATTTTTAAGCTCACGTATAGACATTCAAAAAAAAAAATATATATATATATATATATATATATTAACATTATGCGGATCTATATTCTACCGAACAGTACAAAAATTAAGATAATTTACGACATCTCCTGACCTCTTTCATTAAGAGAATTGATATTAGATTAAAGGCATCGCCCAGAGTGAACATTTACCCTATTATAAGATGGAAATTTGATCCGATAAATATCCTTTCCCGTGAAATTTCGATATATTATGCCTACAAAGTTCATGATCCATTTGATATCATAAATGCCACTACAGGCGTCGTATATGACCATACTCGGAACCTCATGTAAAAATTCATAGGGATTTAATGGTAATTGTAATACTAAACCATATCAGACTTGAAGTTTCGATAGGTTCACCCTGACCAATTTAAAGCCACTATGTGTTAAAACGTGGAGCTTTTTATACTAACGTCCTTATAAAAAACTATCGCTTCACCCACAATTCAAATTGTACCAAATTTAGTACACAGTAGTACCAATTTCCAAAACATCCTATTTAATTCAAATTGTACCAAATTTAGTACAGAGTAGTACCAATTTCCAAAATTTCCTACATATCTCAATCCTACACCCCAACAGTGATCCCGACTCCAAATTTCATGATTCTAGCTCTATGGGTTCACCTAAAATTCAAATTATACCAAATTTAGTACATATAAGTATAAATCGCTTAAACTGAATCCTGACCTGACCAATTGTACCAATTATAGTACGAATTCGTACATATAAGTAAAAAATTTCCAAAACTACGTACTACTGACGGTACGTACACTCTGACGGTAGTGTTAACTTAAATTTTCAGAATTCCAGCTCGATTTGTATCCCAAATTAAATTTGTACCAAATAAAGTACCATATAGTACTTTTCGTACATATGAGTACACGCTTTCAAGCCTATCTCCTTACATAGAACCTGCTTGTCAACCCTAATTCGCATTCCAAATTTCAAGTTTTTAGCTCTATATATTTACGTGCTACAAAATTAAACAAAATTTAGTACATTTTAGTACTTTTCGCATACTTACAGTTCGAATGTCCTAAAAATCCCTAGATATATCTATTCTACATTCCATGAGTGACCGTCATTTAAAATTTAAGAGTTCTAGCTCTACCGGTTCGCCAAATACAAATAGTATCATATTTAGTACTTTTTAGTACTTTTCGTATCGTTCTAGTACGAATTTCCAAAAAAACCAGCCGTATCATCTTTGAACCAAGATCAGCCGTTTTGTCTGGGCGTTGATGAATCGTTATGTCAGTCAGTCTGCTAGATCTCTAGTCCTTGAAGTCCAAAAACATGTTTTCTAAAGATATTATCTGATGGGTCTTCCATCTATACAGACCAAGCCTTGGAAACCTATAGAAGATCTACAGAAGATCTTCCATCTGAAAATCCTCTTAGAGAAATCTATCTCGAATACATTAGAAGCAGATCTGAAATATATATTTTGTCTCAGAAGGTATTCAAGGGTATCTAAAGATCATTTGACAGGCGTTCTGCAAAGACCTTTAGAATGTATTTGGCTTTAAGAAGTTATCTCTAATATGTTTTTCTTTAGAACAGGTCTTTGATATACAAAAGTATTCTGAAAGAGTTTCTAGATGTCTCTGAAAGGTGTTTGGGCTATAGAACTTGCCTGAATTGTCATCTGTGTAGAGTTAGAATCAGTTGCTGTACTAAATATTGCAAAATTTTTACTCGGATTCTATGAAGCCTTTTGAAAGGTTTTATATCTATATAAGGTCTCTGAATGACCTACTGCCTTTGTTTTTGTTTTATTTCGATTAACAACGTTACCTTAGATCTTCGGAGATATTTTACAGACCTGAGGTTTTCCTTTAGGTATTACAAATTGCTTCACGTTGGGCGCCAAATTTTGTTTCGAAGCTTATAATGCCACAATTCATCGAATTCTAATCAATGAAGGTTGCACGGGGTACCTTCTAATTTTATTTATTTATTTTTTGTTGTTGCCCATTTTTTCAAAATATATATTATTTCTATTCCAGATTGGGCGCCACTAAGATTTTCCAACGCATATATTGGCATTCTTTCACAGTTTTCATTTATCAGGGTTCCACAGAATTCCCCCACTTACTTAAAAATACCGAATGTTATATATAATTCTCAAAAAAAATTGCAAAGGAGCCCCATGTTGGGCGCCACATTTGGGCCTAAAGCTTGCACATTGTAATATTTCTTTTAAACTTGCTTAAGTTAAAAGATATTGACAGTCGGTTAATTTTAGACATTCTGCCCGTCTTCTTGCTGGATTTTGATCATATCTGGTCCAAACTTTGTAGCAATGTATGTACCACACTTAGATCTAGTTCAAATATCGTAATAATCAGCTCACTTTTTTGGATAACTCTTACACAAAAACTGTCAAAATTTTGTTAAATTATTTTCATATAAAACAAATAGCTTTATAAAGTTTAGATTCGAACCTCCACATCTAATAGTTCCCATAATTAATATTATTTTGGGATTTCATAAATATTTGCAATCGAATTGGCTCTACTTAATAATGTCCGAGGCCACAGCTAGGTTATATTATTGGTGGTGTTCATAGACCAGTTTCGTGCAACGCAGTATCTATAGGGCATCCTTATACATCGTGTTAAATATTTTGTTAGTTCCAATTCGGTAATCGGTACTAGTTGTCGTAATTTGCACGTAACCTGCAACATGAGAAGTGAATAATAGTTCTACCGCTTCACCCACAATTTTAATTGTACCACAGTAGTACCAATTTCCAAAACTTCCTACTTAATCTAGACCTACACCCCACAGTGATCCTCAATCCAAGTTTCAGGATTCCTAATCTATCGTTCCACCCACAATTCGAATTGTACGAAATGTAGTACATAGTAGTACCAATTTCCAAAACTTCCTACATATCTCAATCCTACAACCCAACAGTGATCCGACATCTAATAGTTCTCATAATTAATATTATTTTGGGATTTCATAAATATTTGCAATCGAATTGGCTCTACTTGATAATGTCCTATCAAAAATTACAAATATCGATCGATCTTTGGGTATAGTCCCATGTAAGGATCGTTTTCACCCCGCAACATTTTACCATGTCATAGCTATCATTACCACCTCATGGTAGTGAGTATAAAAATCCGACGCATCCATATTTAACGACGTTTTTACTTGTCAGTTGCTTGATTAGTGCGACTTCGTAACCCAGGTTGGTTTTTCTATTGCACAAATTAATAAAACTATTTTTTTATAAATTATGTTCTTTTATAAAACCGATTTCTTCATTATGATGTCAAAAATCATTGGCGCCCAAACATGATTGGCTAAAGAAATTCCTAAACTATTCAATGGAATTTGAAATTATAATATATGAATTGTTTATCAAGAACTTTCATTACTACACATCAATCATTAAAAATGTTAATTGCGAAAATATTGAAAATCAACAAGAAAAGCAAAAAATTGCCTGGAAAATATGTGCAGAATATTTTGAAATTATTTAGTGGAATGTGTGAAAATATTCCTGGCAAATGGTCTGCGTGTTTATTTGCTATTCATACATTTCTCACATTACAATCGAAAATTATTAAAAATATTGAATGAAAATCTCGTCTCAATCAACAATGAAAACTGAATATAAAACAGATTACAGATTAAAATGAAAGAAAAAGAAAGATTACAGGAAAAATGAAAAATAAAAACAAATTTACTTCAAATCGAATGGCGGCGGTGGTGGTGATGTGTTGAGCAAGCAGCTAAAGTGCAAAAAAACAACGAAGAACATGACAAAAAAAAATCTACAGTGGAGCGAGTATATTTTATGAATTCATTATTTATTTTGTAATATTTTTTATTTATATTATTTTTCTGTTGAATTGTCTTTTTTCCAGGCTGTCGAACAATACAGTGAATATATCGAAGAACATACACAGGTTATTAAGACCACTACGCAGGTAAGGCGACAGGTAGAGTTTCCATGCTTAAATATATTTATTCAAAACAAATCTTTTTACTAACTGGTGGTGTTTCTGCTTTCTCTTTTTTCCTCGAACATTCAACATAAGCGCATATTTTACAGGTGTTGAGCAACCAACCAATTATGCACAGACAAATGTGTTTCTCATTGTGCTCATCTAATTAAGAATTGGCCGAAACATATAACCAAGCAAAAAAAAAATTACAAATTAAACGAAGAGAAAATATTTTTGGAAATATTTTCTCTTTATTTAAAGCCCACTCACAAAAATAACAGCAACAACAACGAAAATTCAACAGAAAAGTTTTTATAAAAATTTAATCAAAGTATTTAAAATAAATTATTTGAAAAGTAAATTAAAAATTAAATTAGAACGGAATTGAAATTTTGTTAAAAGCTCAAAACTTTTCTGTTGTGCCTTTGAAGCTTAATGCAAAGCTTTTATTGGAATTAAAAACAAACATTAACAGCTTCCATTTTTTTTTGTTTTAAAGTCACATGTCAAAAAATGTCACTCATGAAAACTGTCACTTAATAAGTTTAAGGATTAGAACAAATCCTTGAGCTTTTTTAAAAAATCTCAGTAAATTGAAAATGTTTCTGTAGTCATCCCCTTCATTTCATTGCTAAATTCAGTAGGACACACATTTACTTTTGGAGGATGTATTTATTAAATTTACTATTGCCTTTAAAACATCTTCAAATATTTCGTGGAAGACCCTATATTGTATGTATATTCTTCCTCAGAATAAAATTTAGTTTTTATTTAGGTATGTCCATCTGCCGGTAGCTTGAAAGCCGAATAGAACTCACAATATTTTTGCTAAAGCTTTTGTACATACATTGCTACGACATATTGTTTTTGTTTTTTTTATTAAAACTTTCGATATTTGGAAAACGCTTTCCTGTCGATGTGACTGTAATGTGATATTCGGGTTCCTGGTGAGTGGAAAAACATCTTCCAAAAAAACGGCATAGTCCACGAAAAATATACCACTCGATGTTAGGCATTTTCAGGATCCTAGCAACAATTTTCCAATCCTCCGGTTTTTTTATTTAGAAGGTTTTCTAATTAGGAGACCCATATAAGGTCCTCTAGTAAATAATTTTTACTAAATATTCATAGATTGTAGAATACGTGTAGGTCCTTTCAAATACCTAGAATGAGATGGCATTCTTTTTCTTGGGGTCTATGTGAAATTTGGGAGCAAACTCTGCTGGTCGATATTGAGTTGCTCCGATCGAAGTCTTTCAATTTGGTATGGCCACATTCGATATCGACTACATTTCTCCGAAACATACATAGATATGAAAGCAGTTAAAAACAGAAAAAACCTGAAATCCCAAATGACAATCACTTCGATTGGGAACGGCAATTGAAATCATCAAAATTTGAAAATTGTTGCGGAACACTTATATGGGAGCTATATTGGAACGATACATTAAATTATTATTATTATGACTAAAAATTGCAAATACGTTGTGTCCTAGCCAAAATTTCCAACCCATTATTTTTCTAATTAGAAGTCCTATATAAGGTCTTCTAGATATAGATTTTTTATACAGTACCTATATAATGTCCATGGATATAGAAGACCAATATAAGGTCTTACAAATAGTATTGGAGGTATAGAAGGCCTATAGATAGTCTACTTCGAAGATCCACCATTGTCAAACATGTGGTCTAATTAGATATTTTGGGTTTTTAAAGGATAAAGCATATCTTGGCAGAAGATTTCCAATATAGATTCGTGTTTTTCAGATCGAAGTGGCTGTAACATAAAATTTTGCACTATTGGAGCATAAAATACTATTTCAAAAACACTTTTCGATATAGGTCGATATTTTGGCATAGTTCTCCTATAAGACTCCTGACTGGCTTTAGGTAGTTTTTATGTTTTTAATCGCCGAGGTGTCAACCGATCCAACCGAGTTGCCTGTAATTTAGTATTCTGAGTTCTAGCATGACAATAGACCTCCTTGAGAAAAATGGTAATTTTAGGACCACGATCTATATTCCTCAGAGGCTCTTATTTGACATTTCGGGATCCTGAGCCATTTACAGTATTTTGAATGAATGATTTGCATATTCTGAGTCCATCCATAGGCTTCATAATCTAGGCCAGGCTCTCAGTCATATTTTTCAACCGAAGTAGCTATAGTTTGCCATTTTCCTTTCTTAGATGATTGACATGAAATTTAGCAGAGGCTACCGAAATGAGTTATGGATTTACATATATTTCCCATCAATAATGGTTTCCGATTTCATCCGTATTGTGCACCAAAAACACTATTTCTGGCCGATCGTAACGAAATTGAGTACAGGATGCTGAAATGATCCCAAAATGGAGTATGCCAAGATTGAGTCTTGACTGATATGTGTCAAGTGCCTATTAAATCGGGTTTGTTTCGATTCACGTGAATGGTACTCCGAATTGCTACGCCATTCCGACTGAAACAGAAAAATACTGAATTGATTTCTTTGGCTAACAGGACAAAATGAGAGATGGCATTACAGATTCAAATAATGATTTCTTATAATTTACGACCTAGGGTGCTGAGACTTTTTTTCAGGTCTTTTCAAAGTTTAAAAAATGCACCTCAAACGAACTTCGACGAACACAAATTCATTCGAGGAAAATTCCTTGCCAGAAAGCATTATTTATATACCTACAAATAGACAATAATCAGATCAGTAAAATATATAGGGAATGCGGAAGTAGTTCTAAATCCACTTCATATCCTTTTGTCATCATTTGTTACACGGCGGAAAAGGATGAGGTATAGCACATGTCATGTAACTGTTCTATGGAAAGGGAGGGTTATTTCGCTATTCCAAGAAAAATGCAATTTTTGAAATAAAGGATCAGATGCTGATTTCATAAAAAAGAGAACACAACGTGCACGCTTATACATGATTTTTATGAATTTTTTATACCCTTCACCACACTGTGGTACAGGGATATATGTCTTTGTGGATATGTTTGTAACAGGCAAAAGGAAACGTGATAGACACATGGTTCTTTTTTAGAATATGCATAGAATCACTTTCTGAGTCGATTTCGCTATTTCAAGAAAAATTCAATTTTTGAAATAAAAGATCTGAAAATGCAGATTTATATATTCATATATATTTTCGTCCGATTTAAAATGGTGCACCAAAGTCCCTATATTATTCGATTTCCACATAATGAATAACATGTGTTTTTGAAAATGAATTTTTCATATATAGCTTCGCCCGATTTTAGGTAAATAGTCCACTAAAGTCCTTGGAAATCGATTGACTTGCACGAAATTTTGCACAGCGTAATGAATAAGGTCTAGAATGATGTCTGCCAAGTTTCGTGAAAATCGGTTCAGATTTAGATATAGCTCCCATATATATTTTCATCCGATTTTAGGTAAATAGTCCACTAAAGTCGCTGGAAATCTTTTTTATTTACGCGAAATTTGGCACAGAGTAATGAATGAGATCGAGAATTATGTGTGCAGTCGGAAATCGGTTCAGATTTAGATATAGCTCCCATATATATTTTCGTCCAATTTAAGGTAAATTGTGTACCAAAGTCCCTATATATCTTTCGATTTGCACGAAATTTGGCACAGCGTACTAAATTAAGTATATAATGATGTGTGCAAAGTTTCGTGAAAATCGGTTCAGATTAATATATAGCTCCCATATATATTTTCATCCGATTTTAGGTAATTGGTGCACCAAAGTCTCTGAAAATTATTCGATTTGCACGAAATTTGTAATAGCGTACTGAATTAAGGCTAGAATGACGTGTGCTAAGTATCGTGAAAATCCGTTCAGATTTAGATATTGCTCCCATATATATTTTCGTCGATTTTTTGTAATTAGTGCACCAAAGTCCCTATATATCTTTCGATTTTCACGAATTTTGGAATAGGGTACTGAATTAAGTCGGGAATGATGTTGCTAGCTTCGTGAAAATATCCATAGCTAGGCCGATTGACACAACGTACTGTCTGGCAAGTTTCCCTGAAATCGGTTCAGATATAGATATATAACAAAAACCCTTCCGGACCATAAAACTTATTGGTTTATAATCACACGAGGGCAATAAAACCAAAGAAATAAGTCGCAAGGTTTTAAATCACAAGATCTCGTCGGCAAATTGTTATCACCACTTCAAAAAAAACACTACCCGGAAACATTTCCCATAAAACACAATATTTGCGATGCTTGTGACGATCTGTACCGATCTATACCATTCAACGACAGCGCCCGGTTCTACTGTTGATATTGAAAAAGTAGGGCGGAGATAGAATGGAGATTATTATCAAGCCTTTCAAGGATCCAATCGGCAATGTTGACGTTTGTGGAATGTCAATTTCCTAATTCCCAATTGTTCGTGAGCGGCTTGATTGGGGGTTTTGTTTTTCAATGCATCATCAAATGAGTCGTTTCTTTTGAAAGTTGTTTAAGTTCATTTTATATTCTGATACAAATCTTAGATTTGTAGAAAAGTTTACAAAACATATTACGTTATACATTCGATCATTTTTAAGGGCACAAAGCCACAAATGAAATTAATAACACTGTGTGTGCAACACTAAAATAATTACCGGGAAATTACAATATTTCACCATCGCTATTTCATTTTAAAATCGTTTAAATTCCCTTTTAATCCACCATTGAAAAAACCTTATATGGAGGTGTATGGATTAATTTCAAGAAGACTAAATATCGGTACTCATCGCTTCGATATCCATGGAACTCACCCAACACATTTACCATTTTTTCGACCCTACATCAACCATTATATCCGCAAAGGTTTCAGGGTATCAAGGATTTTTTGTATAACATTTATGTATGCATCTACTCTCAAAACATTTTCAAATTTACTGAGATCTTAAATACAAATATTCAAATTTTTAATAATTAAAATATTAACACAATATTCCCCAAAATATATGTATATTAAAAATATATATTTTTCAACAAAAAAAAAAAATAAGAAAATATATATTCTTAATACACATATACTTCCACTATATACAACAACAACTAATTCTAAATTTTTTCTATATCTCTATTTTTATACATTTTCTTCTATATAGAATAAATTTCAGTTTCAAGGGTTTATTAAGGTTAGCTTGAAAACTGAAAAAAAAACAACTCCCTTGAATCTGTTTTATCCTATTGTTAGTGTGTGTGTGTTGTTGTATACGTGATGTTGTTGTTATAAATACATTACATGTGTATATAAAATAATTAAATTCAATTAACTAATAATTATTTTTTTATTTCTCTCTCTTCTTCCTTCTTTTTTATTAATTTCTTGCACACAGCAGACTACCCAACAACAACAACAATTGCTGAACGGTAAAAGCGAAAGTAACTTCCGACCCGTTGCGTTTGAGAAATTCCCTGTGCCGACTACCGGTGGTATCGTTGTTGGTAAGTGAAGAAATATTTTTTTTTTTTTTATTTTTTTATGTAAAAGTTAAAGACTAGGGAATTATATATAGGCCATTCCATAGAAAAAAGTTAATGTACTATTTAAAAAAAAATCATAAAAAATTATAAAAAAAATTGAATCTTTCTGTAGAACTTTTTTATACAAAAATATGTGCTAAGGGCTACTATATGTACATAGCAGATATTATAAGGGTCGCATATAGATAGAAGACCTACAAGAGGGAAGGCTATTTTAAGTGACCTTTTTTTGAAATTTAAATGGCTATAGAAGACCTTATACGGTATCTTATAAAGACCTTTATAAAATGTACTATCTTTAGAAGGCCCATATAAAATTAAGGCGCTATAGATGTTTTTTTAGTTTATTTATTTATTGTTCTTTTTTTCCTAAATAATATCTATATAGAGTTTTCTAGCTTTAGAAAGTCTGTATACGGTGCACTTGGCTTATAAAGCGTATATAAAGCCTTATAGCTTTAGAATACCGTTAAAATACCCATACTGAATCTTCTGATTAAAAAAGAGCGATATGAGTTTTTCTACACTTAGGAAACCTGCATAGGATTTTCTACCTTCAAAAGACCCATATAAGGCCTTTTAGCTTTTGGCTGAAAAAGTCCTTTATAAGGTTTTCTAACTTTTGAATGCCTGCATAAGGCCTTCCAGCTTTACAAGAGCTGTATAAAGCCATCTAGCTATATTTAGTATGTTTACTAATTAGTTGGCGCCCAACTGCAACATTTAAACTAAATTGAAAAACATTCATCAACAGCTGCAAATTCAGTACATAAACATAATTAAAAATAAATTAATTTTCTTTTTTACAAATAAGGCGATTACAATGTGACAGGGCAAATAACATGTGGATATATTTTTAAAACAAATCTTGAAGAAAATAATTTTAACCCACATTACCCAAAACAATGACCATTAAATTGTTTTATTAAACCTAAAACAAAATAATATATAAATGCATTGACCCGTTTAAGTACATTGCACCCAAAATCTATAGCATACTTCAGGGCGTTAACAATGATTTAATAGAATTGTGTTGCCATTTTGTGATGTTCTTCATTTGTTTTTTAAATATACTAAATATAAAACAAAATATTAACATGTGTAATTGGTGCGGGTAATTCATTATGAAAGCTAATTGAAAATACTAAATTTGGAAATGTCAAGAAGAATGCAATGAACTGTCTGTGAGAAAACAAACAAATGAATGACAATATGTGTCATTAAAAATGTATGGTAGATGGTGATTGTTTTTGGGAAGAACATATGTTAATATGTATATATATATGTATATATATATATATATTGCGGGCGAAGTATAACTGCTATCACGAAAAATATTACTCATACGCCAACCAGTTTCACAAATGGTTATTTACCTCAAATAAATGAACAAAAACACCAACGTTACCCTCGTTAGTCGTGCTGATTTGTCAATCAAGCCACCACAAATGAAAAATCAATGCAACAAATGTCCGATTTTTTTGCATCTTATGTGGCGAAAAAAGTCATTTAGGAACGGCACATCATTTAAAAAGCAAAACCATCATCAAAAGAAATTGGGCGCTTTAAAAGAAATTCAGCAGCAGCAGCACACAAAAACACACACACACACACATGAATGTGTGTAAAGCTCATATATAGATTATTTTTATTACATATTTTTCATATGGAATTTGTTGTGGCCTGTGGCCGTTTCGCTGGTGTAATTTTTGTTCGGACTTCTTCTAGTTGTCAATGTATAGATGTCGTTTTTCTGCAGTTGCCAATATTTCTTTTTCATTTTTTTTTCGAATTTTCAACTATGTTAATAGTTTTTGTAAGCATGTAACGCATGTGTTTTATCCATCAAATAACGAGCACAGCAACAACAACACGAAAGATATTTACAGTTTTCAAAAAATAACATGAATGAATGGATGATTGGTTGTTTGGGGTACTGGGAAAGATGTCAAAGGAATGGCCACTGGCAACAGGCTGCTGTGACCAACAATCGCCATAAATCATAAATTTAATTAAGTTGTCCAATTTGCATGTGTATGGGTGTAAGTATGTTGTTATTATTATTTTGGCAAACAACAATAATAATAACAATGACAAATTGCTTTTCGGTTTTGGGGGGTGGCAAATGACCAGCCCGATTTTTTTTTTTGGTCGTGTACATATTAATTGTAAATTTATGGATAAATACAACGGCCCATTCATTATTGACATGCGGACAGTTGTGTGAACTGTCTCAAAATTCAGTATAACATATACACATTCAAATATATATAATATACAAACATTTATGGCGTACTGAAGAAATATTTCTGTTTATTGACTGTTTGAGGGGTAAAAAAACTGATGACAATGTCTTTTTTTTGGAAAGGCTGGTGATCCCAAAAATGTGGCGTATGAGGTACGATACTACTTATACGCATCCTGGGCCAGACTTCAAAATATTTGCTTTCATTTTAAACCATATTTTTTGTCAAGGCCCCTCAAAGCGAAAATTTGATAAACCATATTTTTTCCAGACCCCACATAGTGTAGATTTTTTGAAGAAATTTGTTTTTCATTACCACAAAGTTAGATATTTTGAAGATTTATTTTCTAAAATTTTTACTACTTAACAGATGTTACATTTTTAAAATAATATTTTTGATGTTCATAAAAACATTAATTTCTTAAAGAATATTTTTTCTTTGAATTAACGTTTTTAATTTTGGAAAACCTTACCTATATATAATTCAAAATTTTCATTCCTTCCATTTGTGATCTAAATTCAATCAAGCTTTTCATTCAAATGTATACTTTCATTTCGTGACTGATTACACGCTCACAATAAAAGGTATTCAGCAAAAACAAAACCGTCATATCAAGCATCATCAATAGTCTGAGTGTACAAAAACAAATATATTCACAGCATTTCTCACATTATGATGACTTACAAAGAGCCTCTTACACGTTAATCAACATCCATCTTACCTCCGGGTAAATAAATTTAGTTCTTCTTTTTGTTGTTGTAATTACTTTTGTAGATTTTCATAATGATCTGCCGTTCACAATATTCAGCAGATTATTATAGATTTTCAATTGATGGCAGGCAGGCAGGCAGGCAGCAACAACAAAATTTTCAAATCAAAAATATTGTTCGCATTCGGAAAAGAAGAAAAAATAGTTTTTGATTGATTTGCGCCAATTGCATGTTGTATCACACACAAATACCTATAAATTTTCAATCTAAAATTATAACCAAAGAATATTTTTTCAAACAACTATGTATGTGATTATTTTTGTTGTTAGTAGTTTTGTAAAGTTTTATTTTGGTGATAAGTGGAGCAAATTTGGGTATTAGCCTAGGTTTTTGAGGTAGATTACTGGACTTTTAGGGAAACATTGTAAGATAAGGAGTATATTAAAAATTCTTAATTATTTAAAAACATATAAAAACCTTGGGGATTTTTTGGATCAGAAAAAAAGTTGTGGTCAAAAATATGACTTCATAAGTATTTAAATTTTTATTTTCCATTAAAATATGAACATGGATCGATCGATTGATTGATTGATGTAATTAACACTTATTGGACTATGTGGCGTATAGGTAGTATAAGAATCAACAGAATCTATATTTTTTAAGATTATTTTTATACATTTCTCTAAAAACATGTGTTCAAAATCCAGGGCGGCTTAATTTCTAAAACAAGGAGCAAATGTACAAATTTTGAATATTTTAAAATATATAATCATTACTCAAAATCCCTGGAGTTTTTTTTTTTTTTTTTTTGGGTCAGAAAAAAAGTAGTTTGTGATCAAAAATATGATCTCATACGTACAATGTGTTTAAATTGTTATTTTCAATTTTAATAGAAATGTGAATAGATCGATTGGTTAGTGTAATTAACATTTCTTGGACTTGGTGGCATATAAGTTATATTTTGGCGACAGTAATCATTCGCCACTCTTTTAGACTAATATAGTTTATTTGTTTAAGAATATTTTATGAAAAGCCCAAAGGTTAAAGAAAAGCCCAATTAAAGGAAATATTACTAAAACATAGCGTAGATGATTTAATAAAATTCCTCCATGGCCCAAGCGAACGTCGTCCTCTTATGAATATTTTCCTGGACGTTTTTTTTTTTAAGAAAAAGTAATTGGACTTGTAACACTGGTTCCGATGGCTGTACTTTTGGCGTAGAACTTATCTTTTAAATCACAAGATTACGGTGACCCGTCGTGATCACTTTTTCCAGAGATACAAAGGTTGGAAAACTTTCCTCATAAAAAAATCAATGATTTGGTTGATGGTGTGGCACGTAGCACCGCCTTGTTAAAAATAAACTTTGTCCGTATTAATACCATACAACCCCGACCATAAAAAAATCATCTCTCAGTATTGCAATCCATTCACCGTCATTTTTGATTCACCCACATTGATTGATCTGTGGCGGATCATAAACCCAACCAAAATGCCACACTTTGAGAATGAAGACGCTTCTCAACAATAGTTCTGGGGGCTTAGCAACGCCATATGCGGCAATTTTGTTTTTATTTTGTAGCCATCGAGATGGAATTGGGCCTAATCAGTCCACGTTTTTTCTCAATGAAATTCGGTATTATTTTTATGCTTTTCAAGGACCCAATCAACAAAGACTGAGTCCTTGTAATGAATCGGTCTACTTTAGCATTCTCCCTACAAAGCTTAATTTTTAAGAGCATTTTCCCAAGAAAGATTTGATTTTTAAGACTATTTTTCAAACCTTATATAGCTCCGATTTTTATCTAATATTTTATCGGGATTCTGCAGGATGCATATTTTGTTTTAAATTTTTTTTTATTTTTATTCCTATTTTAAACTTTTTTCAAAAAAGTGTATAATTTTTAGAATCCAACTGAGGGCAGGTTTTTTTATAAAGATGTTTTTCCAGTCCTAGCAGAGTGATTTTTTGAGAAAATTTAATTTTTTCAACGCCCAACAGAGC